TTAAGCGAGACAGAAATATAAATTGACTGTACACCAAGTGGAAAAACTACATAATTCGTCTTGGACGTGAGTAGGTGATCGGCCGGTCGGATAGCAGGGTTGATAGATGCGGCCCTGGCGGTCAGAAAAATTACGTGACAAACTTTGCATTTACACGGATACACGGGCGCCTCTTCACGAGCCAGGGAAATACCACTTCGAAATATTTGCCGCGATATTTCGGCAATCGGGGCGGCGATCCCGCGGAATTTCGCACCAGCGGCGAGGGCGGGCCACACGCCAACTGCCCGCGATGGAAATCGGGGGTTAGCCGTGCGGGGACTGTCGAAAATCACGCGAGAAATCGTCGCGAAAAAAAAATCGCCACGAATAAACAAAAGGTCGGGCCCGACTCGAGATTTCCGTGGTTTATTCCGCGGTTGTCGCAAGGCTGTCCGAGAAATCGGCCACGCGGACGCCCAGGCCGTCGGCTGTACTTACCTAGGAGGCGAGAAATTACCGCGGAACAGCGTGGTCTTTACGGGAAAAACGGCGGAAAACAATTCTGTGAAAAGCACAGTCCCGTTGCAGGGTGTCTGTACGATGTCCCACTGTTTTGTGGCTACCGCCACCTGACGGTGGAGCACGCGACCTCTCCCAGGTCCATAGTCCGTTCGCGCTAACTCGCCCAGCGATTTTCTGCAAAATTCAACCCCGTTCGCTTTACGCGGCCCGTCGTTCGCGGCATGTTCACTTAATGAAAATCTCGTACTTACTATCGGGTCGAGAAACCGTCCAAGGGCAGGCTGGCGAAGGTCGGCAACGTTCCAGCGAAATTTGGAACAACGCGGCACTTCGAAATCTATATAGTGTTCGCGATAACTGGCGCCGCCGTTATTTGCTGAATTTTACGTTATCACGGTGGTCAGGCGAGGCGTTCGTCTATCGGGATCGAGACTGGCCACGACGGCCTTTCTGCAGAGAACAGAAAACGGCAGGAGTGCAAGCGCGTCGCCGAGAAATACTCGATCTGGCACGAGAACGAAAAGGAAGACGCGCCCGTGCGCACCAATGGCGGCCACCGACCCTTATTTACTCAGATCAAAATGGCCGCCCTTCGGCTTTTCGCACGTTCGAGACTTTCCACGTTCGTTCCGTCCTGTCCTGGCGAGGATCATCTCTCCAACGGAATTTCGCCGGTCATCGCTCAGGTATTCTCAGGCTTGACGCAAGCTCTCCAGTGACGCATCCTCGAGATCCGAATCGCGAAGCACGTTTTCCGTAATGATCGAGATAAACCGACGAAGGGCCATGCCTGGCCCCGCCGGTGTCCGTCGCCTGTTAGTTTTTATTTAACTTTGTCTTTCGGGAATTTCGCTTTTTTTTTTGTTTCTCTTTTTTTTGAAGAGCTTCGAAGACGGTGTATCTGGCATTTTTACGCACACGAAATTTCTTCGTCGAGGTTCTTTGCCATCGACGAAGACGCCAAAGATTAGTGGATTGTTGCTTGAACGGAACGACGAACTGTTAAAAATCGCTGAAGTTGAAAACGTCGCGCAAAATGAAGTGCACGCCATGTTACAACACCGGAGAGAAGTCTACAGAATGAATTATAGGTGTATTTAGTAGAATTTCTGACTACTTTTCTTTGAAAAAGAAACAACGTGTTACTTCGTACAAAAATTTCTTTTTATTCGGTTTTCCACGGTAACCTATAAATATTTGTACGTTTAATCAAAACAATATTTAGGATATTTAGAATTATTTTATTTCCTATGCGATTGTTATGATATACATATATCGTAAAAGTATATAAAAATATTAATTATATATATATAGAATTTAATTTTAATCGAAAACCTCATGCAAGATATTTTCATTCATATTAGATACAAAAAAGATGGGGAACTTACACGAGCTCACCCAAATATACAGATCCCTCCAAATACACGGATTATGAGGTGACAAAAGATCCAAAAGAATGGGAATATGTAGAACGTGTACTTAGACCAAAGGTCATACCTATTCCCTGCTTAGAAAGTAAAGAATATCCATCCGGATGGAAACCACCTGTTGGTAAGTTGTTTTATTTCATGTACACTGTTACAATATTTATAATGGAGTTTGCTAATTTGTTCAATTACTGAATAGCCAAGCCGCACGATTACCCATATTATGTAACCCGGACAAAAAACTACATGCAACCAGTTTATCTTGAAATATTTCATCGAGGACTACGAAGGATAACTACTGTCCGCAAAATTCACGGAGATATTTGGGCATTAGAATCTGAATTGAAGGAGTATATAGAGAAAAGGGTAAACAGACCAATAGGCATTCGCACTAATGAACTGTTGGGTGAAATTAAATTCAGAGGAGATTTTGTAAATCTTGTTAAAGCATGGATGGACGAAAGGGGATTTTAAGTGCCGTAAATTAACAGCAAGATATTTTTTTTGTAAATACAATGTAAAAAAACATTTTGTTGTTTGCCATTGTTTTTGTTGAAACTCAAAAATAAATAATCAAAACACAATCTCTGTGCCTTTGGATTTGATATTTAAATATTGATACAAAGTGCGTGAAATATAGAAATTTATTGTAGTATGTCGAAGAATCAACAACTTCATTTTTGTAAAAATATGCATTATATTTAAAACTATAGTTCACACAACTAGTATATGGAAGATGAATTATAGTACGTATAGCAGCATACTTAAGTGGTATCCGTAATTTTTCTGTTTCTATATCAAAAATCATGCTATATGCTTCTTTATTAAACAATAACAAATGAACAAAGTAACACCTTAAATCTATTTAAATTACTTTTGACATACATTAGAAACAATTTATAAATTAAATAATTTAATGCAGTCGTATGAAAAAGAATTTCTATAAATAGAGATAAAGAAGTGAAATATGTTGTACATATTCCACTGAAATTTAATGACATTCGTATGACACTAAAATAAATCCAAATACTAAGAAACGTGCGTTTGAACTAATTTTCGATCGGTATCGTAATATGAACGCAATGTAAGTTTCAAAAGATGAAAGCATCGAGTTATCAGATCAGAGACTTACAGAAAGGAACATTTTTTTTCTGAAAATCACCCTATTTCAATACAGGATTCTAAGGGTTTGCATGTAAACTTTGATAATATCTTATCAGTTTTTTTTACGTTTATTTCTTGCGAACAAAGTGTTCTGTTTAATAATAAGCATATGGCAAATTTTTACTTGAAAATTTTTCCCTGATTAAATTTACGTCCCTCCTTATCGGTGCCGGTCCAGCTAAAATATTGTTGAACCAACTGTTTTGTTTCTTCTTTAGTTGGGTCTAACTTAGTCCAACTGTATGATTCATAATCTACCTGCCAGTCTGGACTCAACTGTTAAAAGAAAAATGTGATTGTTATTTCGAATTATAGAATTAAAAGGATACAAAGAGAAGAAAAAAACACGAACCGTGAAAGCAAGTTCGTGCCCACGCCAAACCCAAATACCACTGATGCTACTGTCGTTATCTGTACCGAAAAGACAGGCGCTGGCAAATGCAGCTTTTCGCATTTTATCTAATCGTTGATACATTCCACTTATGAGATTGCAAGACATGAAAACCTGTGCAAAGTAAGCAAAGGATACACTGGAACGCAGAAACATAATGAAAACGATGCTATCGTTGTTCAAATATTTTTGATGTTACCTTCGTTAGCTCATTGTTATATTTGTATTCACCAAGCCAAATACTATAATGGTCTGGATCGAACTTTTGCCAGAAGTAAGGTATAGACTTCGACTCGTCTTCATTAGAATAAAATCTTTTAAAATCATCAAGATCGAAAGTGCCTTTAGGTAATGTATCAAAAGGATTTGTATTTTTAGGTTCGGCGGCCAAAATAGCATCCGTTGGATCAAGATCTTCGACAGCTTCTTTCTTAGATTCTTTTGGTTCCTTTGATTCTTTCTTAGATTCCTTCTCCTTTTTCTCTTTCTTTGAAGACTACAAAATATTTTAATTTGTTACTAAAATATTGGACGTGGGTATTTTTTCATGGACATAATTAAAAAAAAGAAAATACAAACCTTTCCTTGAGTTTCTGCAAATTTCTTTGGATCATATTCAAGAGTTTTCTCAGCCAATTTAAAGGCACCAATTACAGCCATGGACTCGGGCTGATAAATAACAGTTTGAAACCATCGATTTACATTCTGGTATGGTTTACGTAGATTTGGTTCGAGGATATATTGGTACAAATGAAGTAATGTCATAGCTACACTAATATCTGCTAATGTCAATCGTTCTCCAACTAGATAAGTACGTGTGAGTAAATGAAAATTAAGGGCAGTTAGCGCTTTCTTTACATCATCCTTAGCGTGTTCTACGTTCTGCAAGTTTAAATTACAATATCCCTCAATTTCGATTGTAAAATGTGAACTTTAAATTTGTACGCATATTGTTTGACACATATGTAGAAATCATATGCATTTGACAGTATGCTAATATTTAATGTATCTCCTTGAGTTACAAAAATAATCAATTATTCAATTATTTCTGCCTTTAAAGGAGAATTCATAGAAGTAAATCTATCTACCTGTTTATTGTAAGGCATTATTCCAAGCAATGGAAACACCCATGCGCAACTAGCTGGGAGAATCTCAGAATCTGCAAAGCCGAACCACTGGATGATTTCTGCACGTTCAAGGTCAGTTTTGCCTCTCAGCTGGTCGTTGGCCACTAAGAAATAAAAGTTTTTGTTACATACCAAGTAATATCACTCATACAACTGTCATATCGTGCAACCCTACCGTAATAAGCAATTGCATTGCTTTCTGTGATGCACTTTCCGTCACATGTTTCAAATGCTGGAACCTAACATAAAAGATTATTGTGTATTGGTAAACAATTGAGAATTAGAATCAACAAAACAACAAAATTATCCCAACAAGATTGAGAGAAAACAATTGACAGAAAATTTGAAAATATTCTAGTATTCTATATGATCGTAATTTCTTTCACAAAACGTCCATGTGTAAATATCTATGCAAAAATAAAAAGGAAGAAAACGTACCAGCTGGTTTGCTTAGAAAAACGTAACATAAATAAAAGATGAAAATACCCCAGATTACAGATAGCCTTACCTTGCCCAGTGGGAACTTCTTCAAGAATGCTTCGGTTTTATTCGTCTCGCCGAAAACGAAATCATCGGCGATCTTGATCTGGGCACCGGAATACTGAGCTGCAATGAGCACCTTGTAAGCTCTGAAGTTTTCCGGGTACGTGTAAAGTGTCTGAAATAAATCGGTCCTCCATTAGTTAATATCCACGTTGATTTCTGTTTCTATCGGGATCTGTATTTCCGTCTGTTCACTACGATCACGATGTTTAGTAATTCGAATTGCATGAGAGAGACTTACTCCAGACGCCATTATATCCAGTTACGGGAAGAGGAAGTTGAAGGCCGGTAAAGATCGTTTTTCTCAAGTGCATCAAGTCCCTTCGCACTAATAGATACGGCCTTAAGACGTAGCCGCAATGCACGCATCTCTCCACTTTCATGCGTGTAAAATGCATTGAAAATTTCGAATTTCAAAATATTTCTGTTTCGATTCGTGACAGTTAATGGAAAATATCTTTTACGTCGATGAGTAATTGAAGGTAAATTACGAAGTAACGTGCAAGTAACAATTAACCAAATGCATTATTTCGATTGGCTGATTGGTGAAAATTTATGCTTGCATGCATCATGAAATAGCCAAGTTCGTAATCGTATAATTTGCTTATCGAATATTCTTCTAAATGTTTCGTCAATTTTATATGTAAAACTGATCTAATAAATATAAAATAACGATAAATTATATACGTATATATGTATTTTTGTTGCTATACCTGTATTTTAAATCTGCTGTTTCGTTGCTGTATATTTTAAGTAGTACTTATTCTCACGCAATTTGCATTTTTGTTTTCTCTTTCTACTTTGCATCTATAAAAATGCATATTTATGAAGCCTATGCTGCATGATAACAGTGTGCCCGAAAATGGCAGCGTTGAAGGATGTTGTTCCTGTGTACAAAAATTTAAAAGATGAATGGGCGGCGACTCCGTGCAATTTGAAGAAATGCGGTGAACTACTCAATCAATTAAAGGTGATCTATATACGAAGCGTGTAAAGTTTATTCGAAAATATTTCCAGCATTTTTCGATTAATAAACGATGTCAACATAACCTTTCATTCATTGTGTCAAAAGCGTATTGTCATCGTATTTTCACGATATAATATATCTATTAATTATCGAACAACTGATTTCCACAGGTTGGCCTTACGCATTTAATGTTTCTGCCAACATCGAATAGCACAGCTAGTCAAAATGAATTACTCATAGCACGTAAGTACAAATGTATGTATGAATTTTAGCATTGTTACTATATTTGCAAACTTGGGTTGCAGGTGATATTTTAGAGATTGGTGCGCAATGGAGCATCGTGACCGAAGATATACCTTCCTTCGAACGCTATATGGCACAATTGAAGTGTTACTATTTCGATTATAAATCTGAATTGATGGAGTCTGCATATAAATATCATCTTCTTGGCTTGAATCTTTTATTCCTGCTGTCTCAGAACCGCGTGGCCGAGTTTCACACGGAATTGGAATTGCTGCCTTCGGATCAAATACAATCCAACGTTTATATCAGACACCCTTTGAGCTTAGAACAGTATTTAATGGAAGGTTCATACAATAAGATATTCTTAGCAAAGGGCAACGTACCAGCAGCGTCTTACAATTTCTTCATAGATATTTTGTTGAACACTGTTCGGGATGAGATAGGAGCGTGCATGGAAAGTGCATACGACAAGATCTCCATTCAGGACGCCTCGAGGATGTTGAACCTAAGCTCGGAGGATGACATGAAAGCATTTGCAGCGAAAAAGAACTGGAATCTAGCGAAAGACAGTTACTTCTACTTCAGTACAGCCAACGAAAAGAAAACCGAAGAACCAATTCCCAGTGCAGATCTGGCCACATTAGCCATCGATTATGCAAGGGAACTTGAAATGATTGTTTAAACATATGCATTTTCCTCTATTAGGTATTAATAAAGTTTGTCATATAATTATTATAAAGCTCATAGTTTATTGTCTTCTTTGAACCCTGTATGAAAATCTTACCTTGCAATGCAAAAATAGATAATAAAATATATAAAAGTATGGAGAATGGAGAACTTGAAGAAAAGTTCAAGCGTTTCGAACTAAATGATTCATATGTTCTGCTTGCATTCCAAATGTAAAGGGAAGTTTACAATCACCTACAACTTTTGTGTTTTGTGTTTAAATGTAGATGAAAATAGAAACATTAGCGATAATTACATCAATCGAATTTCCTGTCAATCTAAAAGCTCGAAGATTTGTTCGATCGATTTGCACTTTGTGGATTACTGTTTTAGGTTATATTACAACAGGACTCCGCGGTACAACAGAAAGATCTGTCAAAATGCTTCGTACTTACGAAGGCATCCGTTTTTTTTCGGACAAACAAATGGTAATATTGGATATTGGCAGCGCATATACAAAGTACGTGCATTTATCTTTATGGGGGGAAAAAATTCTAACATGCTAATGTATATTGACGCATGATTTGAAAATAGATTTGGTTACGCTGGCGAACCTACTCCACGCGGTATAATAAGGACGGAAATTAAGTGTTCAGACACTAAAGAGCTTCGAAGAATTTATGATTACAAAGACACGGAAGATTTATATCAACTGCTGGTCGAATTTCTTCACGCTTTGTTCTTCAAGTATAAATTTTATACGTTGTATTTGATACGTTATTTTATGTTTTGTCATATGTATTAATTCTATATTCTTCGACACAGGCATGTCGTAATAAGTCCAAAGGATGCTAGAATTGTCATTTTAGAATCCCTATTAGTTCCGACACAATTTAGGGACACATTGGCCAAAGTATTGTTCAGACACTTTGAAATTGGGTCATTGATGCTGTTATCTACTCATTTAGCAACTATCAGCACCTTGGGTGTCAATTCAGCTTTAGTTTTGGATGTTGGATACAAGGAGGCCACATTAATTCCTATTTATGAGGGTGAACCAATTTTGAAGGCATGGCAGGCTCTTCCCTTGGGCGGTCAAGTTGTACACGAGTTAGTTAAATGGTTTATAATCAATTGATATTTGTATAATGTAATTTATTTGTTAACAGTCATATTATTGCAACAGGTATCTGATGAAATCTTTAAGAGAAATGTATCCTAATGTGAGCATCACGGAGAAATTTGTAGAAGATATAAAAGTGAGGACATGTTTTGTTACTACATTAGAAAGATCAGCTAAATTGGGAACAGCAGATGCTCCTAAGCCTCCTCCAGCGGTTAAATATCCCGGAGTTAAAAGTATCAACATACCAGGCGAAATTAGAGAGAAAGCGTTTGAAGTATTATGGGAAAGGGACAATGATAATCTCAGTCTACCTACAATGATCCTAAATGCTATTATTCAGGTATAACTCCAGCATAAACATTCTTAAATTCTTCTGTTTTTTTCAATCCGGATTTAAAGAAATATACTTTTGTTACAGTGTCCGATAGATAGTAGACGAACTTTAGCAGAAAATATACTATTAATTGGTGGCACAGCGATGACAAAAGGCTTCGCAAGTCGTCTCAAATCCGAGCTTTTAACTCTCGTGAAAAGTAGTCATTACTCCGAGAAGTTAAAAATTCAGACATTCATGTTTCACACTGCGCCCAGTAAACCAAATTACACAGCATGGTTAGGTGGTGCTATCTTTGGAAGCGTAGATTTACCACTAAGATGCCTGACAAAGGAAAATTATTTGAAATCTGATAGAGTTCCAGACTGGGTCAGCTTAATAGATAATCAGAGAGACGAATCAACCGTCTATGAAACCTAATATATTGCCCAATTTAACAAAGTGATTTTTTTTTTTATAATAAAAAAAAGATATTTTAACGATTGTATTTATATGTATATATAAAATATGAACTTTATTTATTTCTTCTTATACTTCATATAAACATCTCGCAGGCTTACGGCTATCATTGTAATTAACGTCGCATAAACATCATAAAGATTTGAAAATTGAAAATGTATTTTATTCATACAAGTTGCGTTACAGGACTTTGCAATTATGTTACAGAGCTTACAGTGTTGTGAGTAATGTAAGTTTTTCGTTAAGTTGAAGTTGTGTTTTTATCAACTGCGAAAGCGCGACAACCATTAACAGATCTTTTACATTGCTGTTGAACATTTCGTCAAACTGATCGCTCGACATTTTTGGTACCGAATGTACCATATCTAGGAGAGCGCGACCAACCTAAAAGAAATAAAATCGTTTAAGAATTTAGAAAGAATTCAACAACCTATATCCAATTACCTGATTATCTGGTGGTTGCTTTCCAGTTAATACATCATCAACATATGCAAGTACTTGTTCCAACATGGATGAAAGTTTCGCGCTAGCTTCCGCTATTTGAGAAAGGTCCATCATTGGTTCTATGCCACCTCCTGTTTTAACACCAGTTATTTGAGCATGCGCTGGTAATTGAGTTTTCGAACAAAGCTGTAGCCCAACAATTTCTGGCTCGTAACATGTAATCTATAAAGAAGAGAAATACAGTCGATAGTTAAAAAAATCATATTGCGCTGTTGTTAGAATCACACTGCGTAAAATATAACACAATACGTACTTGTACTTTAACCGGTGTAAACATGGAACCTTGCTTTCCATTAGGTACTCCTAACGGAACACAGACATAGGCTTTAATTCCCATTCTAGTAGTATTTGCTAGTGTTGTGTCGACAGTTAAATGAACAGGATTATTACATTCACGGACATAATATTCGTGAATGACGGAGGAGTGAGTAGTAACCTGCAAGAATTATACCAAATATTTTCATTCATGTTACACCGAACATGTAATTTTTAATGTAAATTTTTTAATGCAATTATATGCAACTTCCCATATAATTTTTGATGTAAATACCTCGTTTCCAGTGGCCCACCATCCGACAATGTTTTCCTGGGCATTGACCCTATGATTCAATTCGTACAAATCGATCCCGTATGTTAAATCAGCTTCGACTTGGCTTTCGGACTCTTTGTGTGGCACGCAGAAACAGTTCGTAACTTCAACCATTCCTTTCTCCGCAGTACCTATGCATATTAATTTATAAAAAGAAAAGAAACATCTTCTGCAAAGTCGAAATGTCAAGTTTTACAACTCGATAATTTCACGTCGTTTTCAAGGCTTTTGTATTTGTTTAAATGCAAAATGAAGAACTACCTAGTAACGTGCCAATTACACGATGAGACTCCGCTTTCCGACGCTCGTATGCGTCAACAATTTGAAACAAAACAACAGGATGAACTTTCACGGTCAGGTTAAGAGCCATGTTTCACACCTTCGGATATTACATATGACCGAAAATGCGCGTGGCCACTTTTTTCTAGTAATATTTTGGTCATAACGTGGTCACATTTTGGTCACTTTTTTCTAGTAACATTGATACAAAGAAATATGTTGTTAATTCCCTAATTGGATCACTTGGTCATTGGATTCCTATAAAAAAAAAAGAGAAAATGAAATTTTTATTCAAAATAGAAGAAGATGATTTCTATTTCGACATTATATAAATATTATATCTTAATGTTTATTGACTGATCTAAAAAGTAACTAAATTAACATGCGATACTTTCATGATCGTTCCTCTTCTTGCAATATACGTTTCTTTTTTTTTTTTGTTTATTCTTTCTATTTTTTCTTTCTCTCTCTCTCTCTCTCTTTTTCTACTCATTTGTCTTTCTTTCTTCAGTACTTCTATAGTATCTTTCACATTATCTTCTTAAAAATTGTATATTCCTGTCTGTGTTAACCCATCCTAAAAGATTTGGAATAAGAAAATGCATGTTAGAACTTAGAAATGTATAATTATAGATGTGTAAATGATTTCTATAATGAAATATATACGCGAAGATCTAAAATGAGAAGTAAAATGTAACAAAAGGAAAACGTGTGCACGAACTTGTTTGAAATGAGAAAAAAATGGTGCTCGCCAGGAAAACAGGAGACATAGGGGAAAACTTTTCCCCTAAAATGCCATCTGTCGAAAAGACACTAGACACACTTTTCGCAGGAAAACAACAAACTTGGAAACTCGTATATTTAATCTGGTAGGCGTGATTTCAATGTAAGATGTTCTTACTAGTGGAAGATAATAGGTGATACAGTACTTGGTGGTACGTTTAGAATTCATTGGTGAAAAGAAAAGAAGAAAAAAGTAAGAAAAAAAGTAAAACTGTACATTTCGGTGAGCCAGTGCGATCACGAGTCACGCAATGCGATTAAAATTTACGTGAATGGAATGCATTGCTGTCATGTAGTACGTACAATGACGTATAGACGTCAAGAGAATATAAAGTACTTATTTTTTTTTCGCTGTTATCATGGGTTCCAGATTGAGGTAAATAGATCCTTTATTTTCAACAGTTTTCGAAAGACACTGTTTCGTATGAATATTCTCAACGTTCTGTTTTTCTTCTTCATTGTTTTATTATATCACTGCTCCCTTAATGGTGACATGTACAATAAGTGAAAGTACCTCCAGTCTGAGACACATTGTTCGAATGTGTTTCTCAATCGTTGTTCCGATCAATAGATCAAATTTTCGCGCTTGAAATTGCAATCACGGTCGATATATTGATATTTTCAGGGACAATGTGCAACATCTTTTTGAGTGTTTCTGCGAAGTGGCTGCACCACTGGGAGAGAAACCGCCTTGGATATTGCAGAAATACCCAACTTCTTTTTCAGATGAGGAAATACTTAAATCTGTCCCTAAATTTGCCTATCCATGCGAAATTGAGAAGTAAGTTTAAAGGACTGTTTAATATCAAAGTAAAATGTAATTTCCGACACAACGTGATACCATCGTACTTGCACATTTGTTTCCAGTTTGATGGTGCAGCACTTTTCGTTTGTACTCACTAGCATAGATTCGAAATGGACATTTGGATTTTGTAGACACGATCCCAAGACAGATACAGCTTTAGTAATATTGAGTGCGCTACCATGGCACGAAATATTTTACAAGTTAGTTTTTATTTTAGAGTACAAGTTAGTAACTTAACAAGCCACCCCAACTTGAGTATTTATACACTTGTACTTATTGTTTGCGAGCAGGCTTCTAAATAACATTGCGACTTTAATGAGCAATGGCACTGGAGAAGACCTTTGGAAATTTCTTGAGACTGTATATAAGAGCCCAGTTCCCATTCCTGGTAGTTCTATTTCTATTCCCGTACCAAATTCTAAAGTGGTAAATTATTCAATAGGTTCATTCCTTATACACTATATTTCTTATGTATTTGTACTATTCGTCTTTTTATCAATGACTTCCAGAATTTCGTTTGCCAAAGTCCGAAACAATTTCAATTGCCAAGTATACCTGAAAATGTAAGTAAAAAGAAAAAAGTTAATTTCAAGGAAATTATTTACGACTTTACTTATGATACTTTCATTTTAGAGAAACTTGACCGAATATTACAGTGCCGTTGATGCTCACAATATGATGATCATATTTGCTTCCATGCTGTACGAACGTCGAATTATCTTCACTTCGAAACGCCTCTCGAGATTAAGTGCTTGTGTTCAAGCATGTAACGCCTTAATTTATCCTATGATTTGGCAACACATATACATCCCAGTTCTACCATTGTCTTTAATTGATTATTTATTGGCGCCAATGCCATTTTTAATTGGTGTACCTACACCAACCCTTCAGGTATTTGCACAGTTTATTAATTATAGACATAAATGATTTGTATCCTTCTTCTTTAATTTTTTCACGTTGTTCCGTAGAGAGTACGTAAAAGCGATTTAGGAGAAGTAGTTATATTGGATGCCGACGTAAACACCATAGAGTCTCCGTTTCAAGACTTGGAGTCTTTACCTCAGGATGTAGTTCGTATAAAATTGTGATTTCAATCGTGGAATAAGAACGATATTATTAAGAATCGAAACACGTCTTAAATAATAAAATAAAAAGTTTCTTTGTCCCAGGTGGCAAACTTGAAAAAGGCATTGCGCAACAGATCTGCCTTACTCGGAGACGGTGTGTCAAGGGCATTTTTGCGAGCGTTGGTGCAATTAACAGCTGGCTACAGGGACGCATTAACGTTAGAGCAAGGACAAAGTATTACGTTTAATCAGAATGCATTTGTGGAAAGCAGACCATCGTCAATGCAACCCTTCTTGCGAAAAATGTTGGAATTACAGATATTTCAACAAGTACAAATAAATAAATATATATATATATATGTTTAATAAATTGATTGTTAAAAAATTTTTGAGCAAGATGTTAATAACGGTAATAATTTTAGTTCATAGAAGAAAGACTGAATATGCTTAATTCAGGGCTTGGTTTTTCTGACGAATTTGAAATGGAGGCCTGCAGCTATTCTGCTAAATCTGGTAGCAAATTTATGCAACAATATCGCGAATGGACTTACGCTATGCGAAAAGAAAGTTCTGCGTTTTTCCGCAGTGTGAAGGACAAGGTGCGTTAATCGAATTGATTTCTTCTCTGAAATATAATCTCTTCTGGAAATTAGCCGTCAAGTTGAAATACGTAAAATCAAAATTTTTTTGTGTTCTTGATTGCACTCAATTCCAGGCCAATCCAGCTGTAAAATATGCAGTTAAATCAGTAAGTTTGGTGTACAGATTAAATTACAGTTTCTTTGATTATACGTTCTGTCGTTAATTATACTAATCACAACTTATTTATACTAATCGTAAGTTTCTCTAATACATATATACGTGCATGTGCGTTACAATACACATGCTGTAACGATAAAAGCAACATAACAATAGAATAATTACAGTAATAATTCTAATATCAAGATTATTTATCGACTAAATCAATCTCTATAAAATTCTCTTTACTTTTGACAGAGTTGCTATTAACAAAAATTTTATTTTCAGGTAAAAGATAAAGGAAAGGATATGAAAACAGCATACAAAGGATTGAAATGGAAAGGTATGACAAAACTTTACGGGGCTCCTTTGTAAAGTATATTAGATAACATATCGACCAAGTCTTTTCTTTTTCACTTCTCAGGCCGATCAAATAGAAACGATACAAGTATGAGGTTTCATCAACCAAGATCAGCGCCTAGTTCACCCACATCGGATAGAAGGCCTATCGATTTTACATCTCCACCTAAATCGCCAAATGGTTTCACAGCCACCACTAGTTATAGAAAAGATCTTCGATTACGTAACAGTAATTTCACTGATTCGAGGTTCGTTTTTACAGTTTCTACTTCGAAGTATCAATTTCTATTATAAAGTCAAGCATGCACTGTTTGAATTACAATAGGAAACAATATTCGCCATTAAGCCCTAGTTCCCCGGAAGAATCTGATTCTCCACCAGAAAGAGTGAATATCGATCTAATGCAGGAACTCCGTCATGTGATATTTCCAAATAGTCCACCCGTTGATAGAACAGTACGTATATCTTTAATTTACACTTGCTACGTAGAAATGTATGGGAAAATTTCTAATAAGCATAAGTTTGAAAACATTTCAATTATGAAGTAACAGAGTATTTTACACGAAGCAATAATGGTGTAGAAGTGTCCTTATGTAATTTCAATGTATTGCAAGACGTTGCTTATTGTGTTGCGTATATGTGTATGCAATCAACATCAATAGCATGATCAGAATCATTCAAAATGATAGAATTAGCTAGGACGATAACAATGATATATTTACATGTAAATACACGTTGAAACATGTGTAAATCGTATATCATGCATGTACAATCCCCGGACATCTTAATACGAATCACACAAAGTAATATAGTACGTAATAAAGTAATACAAATTTTTATTACATTAAAATATAATAAATGAAAAAATTATTATTTGGTGCAATTAAAAAAAAAAAAAATTTAGTTTTAAAATATGCATGTGAAATAAAGGATATGAAGTAGCATATATATTACACGTATATAGAGAATCGTATTAAGCACTTGTTTTTTTATTCAACAGATATATAAGAATGTTTCATGCATCACTTTCAGTTGAAACCAGTGCGCAGTTTAGACAGCTTGAGACCTGCATGGAGTGGGCATATACGGCACGGCCCTCCACCTAGTACAATTGTCACAAACCAAACTGTCACTCCTTCCGTAAAAACTACATCCTGTACTCCGCATTCCACCACGTTGATCAATTCGGCCAATCAATCGAGCATCATGCTAAATACAAACGACAACACGTCAAGCTCTCAAATTAGCGCAAATAATAGAACGTTTCCGTTTAGCGCGTTGGACTCGAAACAACCAAATAAAACGGGAGAGGAAACCGATAGATCGTCGCTTCTGCCCGTTTCACAGAGAAGCAACGATAACATTCAGTCGAACAATTTTTTACACGAGATTCACGCAGTTGAATTTACGAAATACAATACTTCGTCGTATTCTCGGAAAGCTGACGTAAAACAATGTACAAGCGATGTTGAAAATTCTGCGGGAAGCACCACGTTTTACGGCGACGATGCTTACCCAATACACGATTCTGATCTTTACCCGAAAGAGAACGATCCTTTTGACACTAGCAAAGTATTTATGCTTCCCTATTTGCAATCACCGATCTTTCAAGCTACAAATGCATCGTTGCCTGTTAATTGTCACGTTCCATCCCATGTATACAATAGTACATCTTGTCCTGCATATTCAAAGGTAAACACCGTCATTCATTATTTGTTCTGTGACTATATTCACAAAGTCATTATGCAATCTAATGTGTTATTGTACGTTTATCGTTCCCTGTGTTTAAGAAATCCTCCGTCTCACTGACAAGTTTAGCTTTTTTTTTTTTCTTTTTTTCTTCTCTGATTCACGCTCACAATTTATTTCCAAAAGGTGGTAGATCGATATTTTCATTTTTTAACAAGACGTTTCTGTTATTGTTCGTAGGAGTCTCCCGAAGTGCCAGATTTAATTAGATTAGATTCGACAACGAGCAACGACGACTTCGACCCGCTACTTTCTAAATCATCCGAATGTTCTAAACAAATGACTCAATCGTTGAATATACCTGAAATGAGCGAAGGTCTTAGTAATCCTTTGTACCCCTACTTTCAACCATTGCACAAAAGTAACGATAAGCAACAGAGATCTTCCGACAATGCCGGTGATTTGGATTTGCTGCAAGCCTACGGTTTGGATTTCAATAAGTTCAACATAAGCAACGGCGACTCGCCATCGAAAAATTCCACGGTGTGCAACACATCCGAAAGCAGTATTAATATCGGTAGTACATTCAGTTTAGGGTTAAACACGCCTGCCATTAAGTCACAAAATAACTGGACAAAATTCGAATAAGAAGTAAATTCAATTACCAATCACATATCACAATTGTATATACAATGTTAATACTGTTTTCTTGTTTTGTTATTCATGCCAATACAAATATCATGGAACATGCTTACAAAAACATAGTTTCTACGAATAGGGATTTTACAGTAAAATGATCGTAGATTTCGATGATTTGTAATACTAGCCATTAGTAAATACGGAATACAATGATTTGATTTTGTAGCACAAATGTAGCGATAATACGCCCTTATACATTTTTTATATCGAGAAGTGACAAAATAACATTTACGATATTCACGAAATTGATTTTGTGCAATTTCTAAGTCATTAGTTCTTCAGATTTATTTGTAAATTTACGTACGAAAGTTTGTTTCAATCGATATGTTTAATTGAAATTTAAGATATATTTTGGAATATTTCATATTATCGAGACGAATTCTTACGACATTTATATATACTAATGTTATGATAATCATTACATTACAAAATTGTAGTAAGATAATATTTACAGAATAGTGGATATAACTCGTATTAGTTCATCAAACTTTCTTTTTAACATGATCGTTAAAATAAGTAAATTAATAGTATTTTTTCGTAACTGATTTATAGGAATAATCGATCGGAACAAATTAAGTACTTTTATTGAAATTAGTAGTTCGTTCTTGTTAGATTTTAAATATATTAAATTTAATAGTTGTTGCATTTATTGGCAATGCTTTATAATAAATTAATACGAAAAGTAACTTTTCTCACAACACTATGATTATTTACGCTCCCTACATCGCTCGTTCTATTTCACGAAGTGCTAATTTAAAAAGACGCGAGTTGATCTTACAAAAGTATGCGTCGATGAATAAAGGCAACAAACGTTTAATAAAATATAATTTAATAAATAAGAGGGTAATCCGGAGCCTAAAGAATTCAAGTATTACATTGCACGTAGCACTGACAATGCATCAATAACTCGTTGCAATTCTCCTTCATTATTTCTTAGCTTCTCTTTGTTACTATTTTGTATATCCAACGGTACTTTAACATTATACTCAGGAACTTCCATAGCCTGCTTAGTTTTATGGATAATGTCTATTAATTGCTCCTCCTTTTTGCCAAGTTTTTCCAACTCCTTCTTTGGATCAATCAAGCCCTTGGACACGTTTAAACAAATTTAATTAGATTAAACAGCTCTAGTATATATCAACATTAAGTTTTTATTCTACCTTAGTAGTAATTATTTACCTTCAACAATAGATGTACTTGAACTTTGTCTGTAACAGTAACGATGGCACATCCCGTTGGTGGTGTCTCTATACTGATTGTAGAATAAGCGAGGGTTTCTATCAACAATCGATATTCCAGAAGTTTTTCTTTCAAGCTATTGCTACTGCATACGAGAAATGCTTCTGTCTTTATTTTGTTCGGTAAGTTATACGTTGCACGCGCTGATCGAATATTTTTTATCACTTTGTTCGCAAAATCAATGTCCTTCTCGATTTCTTCGTTCCTCCAATTACACTATAAACCGATCGTATGATTATATTATATTTTTATGAACAAAAAAAAAAAATTATGAATAATCAAACAGAAATATTTGCCAATACCTCCGATACTTCTGGATATGGACTGATGCAAATACTGGGATAAAACTGTTTCTTGCGAGGTAAGCGTTGATAAAGTTCTTCTGTTATAAACGGCATGAAAGGGCTTAACAATCTTAATCCTACGTCTAGTGTCTTAAATAAGGTTTCTTTAGCTGCGTATTTTCTATTGCTATCGTTACTTTGAAATACTGGTTTCAAATACTCCTAAAACAGTAATCCACATTAATTAATTAATTAATTAATTACGATATAGTAATTTACTTTAAAAGAAAACTTTTATATGTAATATACAAACCAAATAAATATCACATAAATCGTATAGCCAAAGATTATAGCAAGCAGTGGTGACAGTCGGAAAATCGTACTGTGCCATTGCTTCATCACAGACTTTTACCGCATAACTTACACGGGAAAGCATCCAAGAGTCTATATTCGTTTTAGAATACAACTAACGACACAAAAATCAATATTTTTTTATCCAAGTATACTAAAATTTTTAATACAGATTTTTTAAAACATCTGTTTACCTGTTTCTTACTATCATTGTGATCGTGTATTTTACAACCACACTGCGATAATATTTTGCCTTCCTCTGCCCGAAATATAGACTGTTCTTGTTCAGTGTAAGACGCCATATGCTTGTACCAACGATGTAAATGAGGATAGTTTGTTAAATTAGTACCTAATACGGTAAAATTTTGATAAACCTTGGTGTCAATTTGCGAAGGGCTGTATCCATCTAAATAAGGATAGTCTGCTAAATAATTATTCAATGCATCTTGCACGCAATCCTCGTTTAGGGTATTTTGATACCAATCATTATCACCTATCGTATTTTCGCTATGGCCGTTGTTAACTGCCTACGACAAAAAATAATGCGTGTAAAAACTTTGCAAGCCCCCCTGTGATGATTAATATTAAAATTAAGTTTTACCGATTGAACACGTTCATCGTAATCGAAATTAGAATCTAGATACATGAGAGAGAATTTCGTCGCATTCCATATTTTATTACAGAAAAATCGATATCCTTGTACACGAAGAATATCAAGATTAATATCACGACCTTGCATCGTGTAAGCGCAAAGTGCAAACCTTAAAGCATCAGTTCCACATTCAGGAATTCCTTGCGGATAGTCACGTTTTTGCCCCTCTATGGCATATTTAAGCTCTTTTGGATCCAAATTTGAATCCATTAGTTGTTTATGAAGATTCTAAATGAAGATAATATTTAAATAATCGCTGAAATGGAAAAAGTAACAACGCGCGCGCACGCACACGCATACACACCTCTAACGATATTCCATTAATTACATCCATAGGATCTATAACATTTCCCAGTGATTTGCTCATTTTCCTTCCATGAGCATCTCGTACCATCGCGTGCAAATATACCTCTCTGCAAAATTATTTTTTTATTATACACGTTTAATTGTGAAAAAATAAAATATGAGAGTGAAAAGGTATTTACGCACTTGAAAGGTAATTTTCCTAATAACTTTTGTCCTAAAAAGACCATCCTTGCTATCCAGAAAAATAAAATATCATGCCCAGTCTCTAATAATGTACCAGGATAAAATGCTTCAAGTTCTTTTGTCTAAAGTACAATTATTTTATTTTAATATTAAATAACGAAACTAATCGGTATAAGTAAATTGTATGAAAGAAATCACTTCTACATGTACCTTATCTGGCCACCCGAATATCGAGAATGGAAACAGACCAGAAGAGAACCACGTATCCAGTACGTCAGGATCTTGCTCAACAGTAATATTACCTACATTCGTGCCCAACTGCTTTGCAGCTTTCCTTTTAGCCTCTTTTTCTGAATGTGCGCTCACCCAATAATCATCGTCTAACTAAGTAATATGAATTGTACTATAAAATGAAAAAAAAAAATTCCAACTCGACATTCTCTGAAATTACCTTGACATTTCTGACCGCATTAATTACTTTAACGCAATAAGCAGGAATACGATGACCCCACCATAATTGACGAGATATACACCAATCTCTGATATTCTCCATCCAATGGTACCAAATTTTCTTATATTGATCAGGAATAATTTTCAGTTCGCCAGATTTTACGGCGTCCATTGCCTTTGCAGCCATCTCACTACACTTTACATACCTAATAACAAAATAACAAATGTAATTTATTTCATTGTGCGTTTTAATAATTACAAATATGTAACCACCATTGAGGTTTCATCAACGGTTCAACAACATCTTTAGATCTACTGCATATTGGCACTACCATAGGATTGTCTCTGATTTCAACCAATAAATTTCTCGCAGTTAATTCTTTTATTATCGCTGCTCTAGCATGAAATCGTTTCATTCCCTGCAAAGAGGATACTTTTGAAAATGTCAATTAATTTTTAGGCGATGAAACAAAACACGATATATAATTTTTCCTAATACATACTGTGAATTGTCCATAATCCCCAATAATATTCCCATTATCGTCGAAAATAGTGATAAACGGCAAATTATGTCTTTTTCCTACTTCATAATCATTGGGATCGTGAGCTGGTGTAATTTTTACAGCACCTTTTTGAAAAAATCATTTTAAATTACCAGTGCTTTGATTGAATCAGGATTTCTTATTGAATCTAACTGATACTGACCTGTACCAAATTCCATATCAACAAATTCATCAGCTACAATTGGTAATTTTTTGTTGCAAAACGGATGCTGTACATATTTCCCAATTAAATGAGAGTATCTAGTATCTTTCGGATGAACCGCGACAGCTGTATCTCCGAGCATTGTCTCAATACGGGTGGTAGCCACAATTATTTTCTCTTTCGAGTTTGCTACCTCGTAAATGAACAACACCAGAACTCCAAATTCTATCTTCTCTTGGTATCCAGGAATTGAAAGTAACGTCCGACCCGTTAATTCAAGTTTATCGACCTTGAAAACATAAAACGAACGTTGGATTCGAGGGGACGAACAATCGAAAAGTTACTATTCAGTCAAAAATATTTACTTCTATATCGGAAATAGCGCTCTTTAGCGTGCAGGACCAATTGACTAATCTATTGCTTCTGTAAATTACACCCTCGTCGTGCAGTCTTATAAACGCTTCCGTAACAGCGCGACACAATTTTGGATCCATGGTGAAACAAACTCTGTCCCAATCAAACGATCCGCCCAACTTCTTCAATTGCAAGTAAATTCTGTTCCCTTTTCTGCAACGTATTAATTATATACAACTGTATCGCATGTTTGTATTATACATAATCTGTTCAAACATACTCCTCCTTCCATTTCCAAACTTTTTCTATAAATTTTTCTCTTCCAATATCATGACGCGTCTTCTTCTCCTCCTTCCAGAGTTTTTTTTCAACAACCACCTGGGTAGCAATACCTGCATGATCGCAGCCAGGGTTCCATAGTGTCGTACGCCCTTTCATACGGTTCCTAGTCAATCGTCAAACGTTCTTTACACAAAATTATTATTTAAAAACGGTCGAATCACAATACTCGAGCAAAATTACATTGTGTCTCTATAGAATAAGTATTGTAGTAATCTATATTTCATCTTGTGTTTCTATAGAATAAATTACGTACTTCTATGTAATGTATATTATAGTTCAGGGATTGTTTTACCATCTTGTGATAGCATCTTCTACAGCATTCGTTAAAGCATGCCCAAGATGAAGAAACCCGGTCACATTGGGAGGAGGTATCACCATAACAAACTTTCCCTTGGGATTTGGTTTTAATATGTCCTTTCTCTGCAAAATGTGTAAAAATCACAATAAGACAACAAGGAAGCTTCGAGACTAATCTTTTATCAAAATATATTTCTATAACGTACATTATATTCAGGCTTGAAGAAACCTTGTTTTTCCCACCATGCATACCATGCAGCCTCAACATATTTTGGGCTGTACGTATCAGGCATTGGACAAGTGACGTTTTTCTTATCCCCGACGGGTGTATTTACCGCATATGCAGTTGATTCTTTGGATTCCTTTTTCCTTTCGACTTTCTGAAACATAAGAACATTTATAATCGAAAGAAGCCTCTCTGTTAGAGAGGAGTTACGAGTTGCGTAACTAAAGAAAAGAAGGCCATATGGATAATACGAGACTTGGCGACTGAAGACGAAAAGAAGTCCAAAGTTTCAATAGTTTTACCTCAATTTTGTCTTTCACTTTCAGAACTTTGTCATTCTCTTTCTTTTCCTGCTTCTGCTTAAACTTGTCCAACTTTGCTTGCTTTTTCGCCTCTTTCTGTAGTTGTTTCGCGCTCTTCTGCGGAGCTTCAATCTCGCCGTTCATTTCCCCGGTTCTCATGTCGACCGTCTCATCAATTTTGTCTTACGTTTCCTCCCGAGCGTTCAATTCCTGTAACACAAATCGGCTGACGACACACTTTCAAAAATTATACAGTCAGCCATGCGCTTTCTCCACGCCACCGTCGGTGACAAGATCAGACTTCGATCAGAATTCATTGTTGCGACGAACAAAATATTTCATTGCATTTCTTTTGCTAAACGCAAGATGGCACGGAGATAAAAATTAAATTGCAGTTCTAAGTTATATTTTTATCCAGCGGATTAGAAAACGAACAAACTATAGAATCCCTATGTCTAGTTACATACATGAAGAATAATATGAGGCAAAAATTAAGTCGCGATTCTAGGTTATATTTTTATTTCTAAAGAACTAGCAAACGAACATACTATAGAATCCCTAGTTACATATGTGGAGAACAATGTGAAATAAAAATTAAATTGCAGTCCTAGATTATATTTATGTCCAGAGAATTAACAAACAAACAAATTATAAAGTCCCTATTCCTAGTTACATATATGGAGAACAATGTGAGGTTATATTTGTTACTTTCGAAAATTAATTAAAGCATTGCTTGAAAAGCAAAAATAAAGTAGCGTTACATTACATGCTGGTGTATACAATTAGAATAATGAAAAACAAATGTATCTGTCAATAAAAAAAAATTTATTAATTGAATCAGTCTTTCTGTTTCCTGGATTTTAGTCACGTGGTTTTATTTATTTCCCCTAACGAAACGTAAGATCGTATACGCAAAGAAAAAAAAGTTCAACGTTAGATACAGAAACGAGCAAACTGTCTATTTACAAAAACAATAACACGTTTTATTTCTATAATTGTTGTATATTTATTGTAAATTTTACTTAACACTGAAAGTATTCGTCGAACTTCGTTAGTATCCATACTTATTTAACTCTATCTTTTATTATTCGTGCCAAACACGTGTAATCGGTTTACCGGTATTCATGCGTGCGAGAAAATAACCTGTTTGACAACGTACACGCGCGAAAAGTAAAATTGTATGTAAAAAGTAAAAAATTGTTATGCAATTTAAGATATTGTGAACTAGTTTCATAGTTTTTCACTTCTGTGGTTTTAAACAAAGAGGTGGCCGCGATGGATCGCACAGGTATAGGAAATTCGCTAGGAAGGAACTTGACGTCTCCGCGGAAACGCATGTCAATCGTTCAATCTTTGAAGAAGAGTAATTCGTAAGTGCCTTGCATATGTAGATTCAAATTGGTGAAACGTTAACTACGAATTTGTATATATTTTTTTACTTTTCTATTCTTTTTTTCAGAGCGATAAGCGTCTCTGGACGATCAAACCAATCGGTACAGATAATATGTAAAACGCCGAGTCACGTTGTGGAGAGCTTCGGATCCTCCTTACCTGTACTTGTTACAGAAGCATTGACATTCGTTGACAAAAATACAGCTGTTAGTGTCAATATCTCGATGGATGGTTGGGCCTGGCTTGTATGTGGCCGTAGACTGCTTGTGTGGCAATGCAAAACAACCATTCACGATTCGAAACAGAGGAGAACGTTTAAAAGCCAATGTCGCGAACTGTTATTACCTCAGAGTGATCTGGCTCACAAGGCAGAATGCATAGCAGTATGGTTGCCTCAGGGTCATCAGGTATTTAATATCTTGCTAACTGAATGAAAAAATCTCCCAGCCTTGAAACTAAGTTTGCTGCGTGATCGACGGAAGAAATCTGCCACTTTTTCCTTAGTGGCGCATTTCCTTTCGACTATTCATTTTTGTCAAAGTTTACTTTTGTTATTTCGTCAGCTTTGAATTAGCAACTCGATCGTAATTTAGTTTTTCTGCTTTTGTAACAATTTTTGGTAAAAATTTCAAGCGTCGACTAAATTACTGCCAATAATATTTGACTTTCTCAATCGTCAGGTGCCTAGCTGTATGGCTGTCTCTCCTGAGGGTATTGTACGTTTCTGGGTCAGCGTTGCACACGAAGGATCTTCCGTAGAAACAAGCGCAGAACTTGCCGGACAAGAAGTTGATTGTCTCACTTACATTCCTGGTCATGGGTGTATTTTGGCCACAACCACATGCACAGTAGCGTTGTTACAGCCACAGTTTGTTGGTGGTAAGAACAGCATTAACTGTCAAGTTCTTAGAACGAGTCAAGGATGGTTAGGCGGCATAGGAAGAAGAATGACTTCCCTGATTTTCGGAGCCATACCTCAGTCGCCGGTTACAGAAACTGTAAATTTCTCTATCGTGTATCGTTGAATTTTTAGTAACAGATGTAAAACGAATAGAAAGTATAGAATACAACCGGTTTGCTTCTGTTTCATAGAAATTAGTAAAAGTTACTTGCACAACCTTGGGAGACAGAGGATCGAGGGTTCTTATTTTAGCTGGCTCGTCTTTGCAATATTGGTCTTTCCTTCATAACGAACAAGAAAAGATGGAGTTTGACGAAGATATTGGATATATTATTTCGCAAGCTTTTCAACGAAAAATCTGGGTATGTAAAATATGTATATGTAAGAGTGTGTTTATTTATTTACTTTATTTTAGAAATCAAGTGTATGCAATCCGCAAAGTATGGAAACTTGGTTGATTGACATGCAATCCTGTAACGAAGGAATAGTTTTCTTAATGGCAGCTCATTGTGCTGACGCATCGCCTCTTATTGAATTTGCACTTGGTAATAATTGAAAAAATTGAGATACGCTTTATCATGGAGTTTCATGTTATATGGAATAATTAATATGTATCGATAGGTTTGATACAGTTATCTGGAACAACGTTAGCAAATACGTTTAAATGGTTTATACCAGTCAAGATTGATTCTATTTCGTATCACAATGACGCTGAATCAACGTTGGTTTCTTACCGTTTCATATTATGCGGTTGGGAAGCTATTATATATAATCAGTATGAAGTGCTTGTTGTGAATTGTAAGTTAAAGTCTATTGTAAAATTTCATACAGGCCTTTTTATACATTTTCGAACGAAACGATTTTAGGTATATCCGAGCACGAGCAAGATAAAATAGATTTAGTGCGGGGCGGAGAAGATAGTATTCTTGGCGGTGCACTGTGTTCAGGAACTCCAGTTTTATTTACTAAAAATTTCGGTTTGGTGTCCGTCATGCCGTCAGATTTTATGTTACAAGATTTCAATATGTTTGTGCTTATTTTACATACATCATCTTAGATATATATAGATATATATAATTTCATTGGAAATAAAATTCATAAATTTTTTAGGAGTTACACGGACAATGTTAGTGCGAACGTGGATTATAATTATCGACCAAGTTCAGCCGCGCAAAATTTTACCAGTCTTATCAGTAATGAAGAAATTCAAAACATGTACTACAGTTCTGACAGTGTCACGCAACTGCGTGCTGCATTTCTTTTCAGTTTACGACAAAATGAGGCAAGTGTATATTTTACCTCGTTCCGAGATTAACAATCTCGTTAACCGAATCATCCCACCATAGGCTCAATGCGAGGAAATTTTGTTGCATCTTTTTCCATTGCAAGAGGAACCAATAATGGACATAGATGCCACTCTTGATACGTTGATTTTAAAAGTCGCTAAAGATTTAATAGACGATTATCCGGCAAATGATCCACGTTGGTCAAATCACAGAGATTTGTGTAATTAAGTTTTTTACGTTCCATACTTGAATGCAGAATGAGTTTGCACAAATTTCATACATTGTGCGTATTTTATAATAATTATATATTTCTTTACAGCTATGACAATAAATGCTGTCACATCTATGCAAATACCCAATCAATTGGAAGGGAAGCAGAAAGCCATTGATTTGTTCGTAACGTTTCTAAAAGAACATGATTTGTGGAACAGAGTAAGTTAATTTGCGATATTATTTTATTACGCTGATGCGATATTATTACACCACATTTTCCGATTTAGTTCTGCGCTGTTACGTATAGAGGAATAATTATGTCTACGCCGCACGTTCTTGGAGAATACGCGGAAAAAATAGTTGCCGCACTGACTATATATAATCTTCAAAACAAGTAAATCTTTTTTATTTTTAATGAAAAGTATTTCTGCATATACGTTATCGTTCTATTTTGTTTTAAATTGTTATTCTGTTATTATCTTTGTTGTTTATTATTTCAAGGTACCCAGACATCGTAGATACAACGATGGAACAAACTTTAAGCCCCGAATCATACGTATCCGATGAATTAACCGCGCGTGACATATTTTATCGCCAAGTCAGTGCTGTTCATCAGTTTCTTCCCACGTTGGTAAATAACGCATCGGAAGTGACTCAGTCCGAAAGACCCATCCAACAAGTGGCAAATTATATCGTGCAAGTAAACGCCGTGTTATTGGTAAGTACAAGTCCAACGTGATTTGAACGATAAAAGAAAGGAGTAGCGTCAAAGTACAGTTTCAAAATACATTACTGACAATAGGGTATATTACACGAAGTAGTAAAATACCGGCAACACAACGCTGAACGATTCGTTCCGACGAGATGTTCAAACGCTATCACCGAGTATCTTCCATGGACAGCTGCGATTGGAAAACATGGTCTAAGAAATTGTCTCACTACAATGGTCAGTATTTATCAGTATTTATCAGTATTGTCAGTCGGTCAGAAATTTTCATCATTATTTAATTTATTTATTACAGTATAACTTGACTCTTAAACACGGCATAACCGGAACTAACGATTCAACAGTGAGAAACGAATTGTACGAGCAGTTAATAAATTACATAGATTTAATATTGGACGGTCGGAAATGTCATTTAGAAAGCGTGAAAGGTACAGAGAAGTTCGAAGTACTTTTGAAGCAGTACGAAACAGACCGAATGAACTTGATTCAACCACTGAGTATGCGTTTTTTAGTTAAATCGTGTAACCAATTAGACAGAAGCGGATATTTATATCGAATAATTTGTAGTAAAGGAAGAACAGTACGACAGCGCTGCGATGTTAGCCGAAAAGTATTGCGATTTTGCGTCCCTTATACAGATATGCGAATTGACTAACAATAAGAGCCAGCTGGACGGTTATATGAAAAAATTCGCAGCTCAAGATTTCGTAGGATTCTTATTTTCATGGTGAATTTCCTTAGATGGATGGATAATCGTACAAAATATTTTGCAAATGTTGTTTTATACGATACAACGTTTCTTCATTTCACAGGTACGTGAAAGATGGTCGACAGGGTCAATTAGTAGAGAGATGTAGACGCGGCGGTACTGTCGAATTATCAAAAAAATTAGCGGAACATCCAACTCTATCGTGGGTGCAATTTGCCCTTACGGACGATTTACGCTTTGCTGCTAATACGCTTTACTCTTTAGCGATTCAGGAAAGTGAATTGGTGACGCGTAGGAAGGTACACGCTCGCTACGATTCTATCTTTTTAAGCTCCTCAAATATTTTTACTCATACGAATTACTCGTGTTTTCACAGTCGATGCTTTCTTTAGCAAAATTGGCGTTCCTCGCTTCCGATGACCTAGAGGAGCAAGTGAGAAATCATGTGAAAAAAATCGACAACGAATTGGCATTGGTTGCTTATCAAGAAGAATTGCCAACTCAAGTACTTACGACGTATGGTTACGACGTAGAGAAATTACGTGTATTTACACCGACAGAATTAATTACGGTATTGCTTTCTATTATGCACACCTTTTTTGTTTTGTGTAACATATTTGACGCATTTGTTGGACGTTTTTGTAATTGGCGTAGTTGTATACATCTGAAGATAACATTGATGCGAACGAGTATGACTTCAAGAAAGCTCTGGATTTGCTCGAATACGTGGAGCAAGAGGATGAAAAGGTTTCTTTAAAATTGCAAATTTGGGCACGAGCTGCTAAACGGGATCAGTGGGATACTCTGGGAAAGAATCCTGAACAACAAGTACAAGAAACGATATTTTTCAAACTAATGGATCTTGCACACTTTACAGGTATATCGTTAATTGTTAAAGAAATAATTGCTTGATCGTTCGATTTATAATAGTACATGTGCGAATAAAATGTATTTTCGTTCCATCTTCGACACAGGTGGTCGAGTAAACGAATTTCTTCCACCGGTTGATATGCTTTTGATAGAACCCGAATTAGGAAATCTTGCCGCATCGAGTAACTTTCAATTCCTGATTAAGTTTGTGTACGAGTATGCATATAACAATTATTAATCTACCTGAACGATTGTAAGTAAAAATTTGTATTTTTTTAAGTAATAAATAAATTTCTACACGATATAGTAATATAAATGGTATGTTAAAAAAATTGCGTAAGTAATAGTATCCATAAAAAGAAATAAATATAAATATTGCAGTTCACACAAATATTCGAAATGCAAATAAGGCTAGAATATTCAACGAGATCAATACTGTATTTTTGTCCGCAGAATTATGAACATTTTGTTGATTTGTTCTTATTATGTATCTTACTTGATCCGGTGTTTTACAGTCTATTTCTGAAATTTTCAAGACGTATTAAAAGTTACATTGAAGCTATGTCAAGTATAGATATATTTAAAAGCTAGATGTATTATATTTATAATAGCTAATGTTTACCTGCACATTTATACAAAGAAGTTACGTTTTGTATTCGAAGATAAAAATTAGGACAAGCTGAAGTGTTGGTACATTTAAAGTGATCGATCAATGTAACTTCCTTATAGCCAGATAATTCTGTGCACTGTAAATTTTGTCTATCGTTGGGATGAAATCCTAACCATGAACAGGCTTTCATTGTACCATAGCCAAAAGTATGAATCTGCAAAGTTAATATTACGATAAAACTGAAAGAAATAAAGATAATCGTTTACACAATTTGCCCTTTGAATACAAACCGTAACTATTATTTTTTTCATATTTCGCTTCCAGTGTGAATGTATCCTGTAAGTGATAGATTTCGAAGGGCTTACATAATCTTCCCACTGGGAAATAATGTTTTTAGTTACATTTACATCTGCAGTTATCATGGGTCTTAATATTCGTGGAACTGAAAATATATAGAATGAATATCTTATATATTAAATACAAATCTTAATTACTTAAGCGATAAAACATACTTCTCGATACATATTGAGTAATTGCGTCGATATTGGAATTCTTTATCATATAATCTTCTTCCCATAAAATAAACGACCTGAATAAATTTTCATTATACCGCGATACGTAATATATAAAATAAACTTCTAAAAAATTAAAGGAAAAAAGAAAAGATTATTGAAATTTATCGGTTTTAGTTCACGTTTAAAATTTGTATTTTTACCTGGAAAAATATATTTTAATTGACGTAATAACATTGTTGCCGATTTTTTTTCATCGTTGGATATGTGTGCTGATGGAATTAAAAGCACGATTACCTGACCAAAATTTCCAATTATTTTGTTTTTATGATTGAGCTCCCATGTGTTTTTCAAATAAGTGAATACCGTTTCCAAAATTCGAGTGTAATTAAATCCTGTCGACCCTAGAAATACATCATTCGTGATCGTACGAAGAAAAATTTTCACAGAGTAGCAAATCTTACACGTAGCATTGGTAAAATTGTTTAACGCTTGAAACGCGGTTGATGGACTATTTGTTACATTTAACAGCCATTCTGCTGAAGTGCCATGTATTATACCCATTTTTGATCCATACATTGATACATCCAAATCCTGTATAAGACTCCTGTATAAGATACGTTTAAAATACAGAGTTTAAAAATGAAAACGTGAGATACATCTTGTTAACATATACCGTAGCTTACGCAAGAAAATCTTTTGTATATTCTATCGTCCATGCGCCATCGAATACAATCAGTGCTTCTATTTGGGGTTGTTTTACTTGATGGCACGGTAGTTCAGGGAACAAGTAATTGCTCGCATACGTGTAAAACTTTTCAATTGCAATATTAACCATTTGTTGCAACACTTCAGGGGAAATATATGCAATGCTTTTACGATAAGCTAACATTTGAGCTATGGCGTAGGTCTGTCGCAAACGATATTTGCCAATATAAAATATAAAATATACATAGTATTTATAACAATAGTATTAATAATTAGAGGCAACCTGTTCATTTAGAATAGTCTTTGGTACTGCGTATAAAAATGTTTGTGCTCGATCGCAAGCTTTCACGTTTGTATTAAAGGTGACACCTTCGTGCGAGTAATACATTTCCAAGATTTGACTGAGTCGAAGGCTGTAGAAATCTTGGATCCAAGTCTGTAAATAACTTGCAATAATCATTCCTGAAATAAGCAGTTGTTACAAACAAACGATTAACAGGTATTTAATAAAAATACCGAAGACGTTAATTTACCGTCAATGCCTCCTATTAATTCAGCTCGAGTTGCATCAAAATTGTCATGTAAACTTGTGAGGTAATAAATTGTTGGACGCATCATATTTTGCCAGAATCCTGTTGCACCAAGAGTCATGTTATTTCCTAGTAAGGGACCTTGGTACACGACCATTTCCGCTAATTCACCTAATTGAACGGAATATTCTGTACGTTAATATTACATAGCATATATGTTTTTATTAATTAAAATAATAAATTTAAAAATTTTATTTTTTGATAATTATATAATTGAATTCACAATTAATGGTAATAAACCTAAAATATTGAAAATATAAAAAATAATCAACATCTATATCTATACATAATTATAAATAAAATGAAAACTTCATTCTACTTAAAAATCTAAAATAATAATAACTTTGAACGAATAAAATCGAAATAATTATTAATAAAATAAATAATAACTCTTTAATAATATATGTCAGTTGTATAAAATTATTTACACACATGTTATTAATACACGTTATTGACAATGTTTTTTACCTGCAATCGTTGTTAACCATATATTATCAATTTTCACAGATGAAGCCATTAAAGCATCGTACCACATGAGTGGTTTGTGAATCATCTGATTTCTTGGTAAAACAAAATCGACTTCCTCTTCGTTGTATTTTAAATTGTTTGTAGAATTAATTTCTAATGGAAAAGGAGAACTGTTTAACGAGACTTTGCGACAAGATCAAGTGTACCAACAACGTTATACCTAAAGGAGGTGTCTCTGAACTTGCAATCAATTGATTTACAGCAACATTCTGATGTTGGAGACATGCAGCAATTGCTCCTATAACTGCCCCAGGAGTAATGGTACCGTACGGAGTTAGGATTACTCCTTGTTGTCTTGGACAGTTCCACATATCAGTAAACGTAGTATTTCCTAAATAATAATTGTTTTATTGTTATTGACTTAAATATCTTCTTCTCTTTCTTTTTTCTAAATAATTACCTATTAATTTTTCTATAGTATGACCACATGATTTATATTTGTTTTCATTGTCAGGCTTCGAAACTGTGTTTGAAATAGCTTGGTGAAGCATGCATTGTTCCTTCTGTGAAAGTATATGAACCGGTAATACTTTTGCATTGCCTGGAACTAATTCCTCTATCAATTTATATTTAATATATTGTGATCCTGTTCCACTGAATGGAAGCACATCTTCCGTGACTTGAATATTCTGTTGGTATTCGATACCATCAAATTTAAATCTATAATTTGTAAATATAAATATATACTTATTATTTTGCAGTAGAATAGACAGATATTAACAATTGGACGTATTACAACCTGTGTAATATCGATGAAGACATTAGTCTCATGTCTATTGTTGAATAGGATTCCTTTTCCATCTTCTGTATAATGTCTACCAATATACGCAAGTTCAATGGATGTTGAGGATTGAATGTTGCATTGTTTCTATAACATTCTCTAAGTGATTTGGGTACACTTGTTTGCGACCATATTAACTGCAATTCTATCGTGCAGAAAAATACTTAATATGACATTATAGTTCATGATTTATTCTCCTAATATGTTAGTCAATATATTTTATTAAAATTTGTGGCAACTTACCGCAACATATGATCAATAGAACAATTTTGTCAAACGCCATAATTAAATTATATAGAAATTTGTGTTATTAAAAATCTAACGTTTACTCTTTGATGTCCATATCTACTCGAATCTTCATAATGATTCACTGTCGTGTACAAATCAAAAAAAATCTTCCTCTATTTAATATTTGATAAGATAATAGTAAGTAGAAATATCTAGGTTCTTCTAAAATAAAATTTCAGCGTTTATAAAAGAAATTTTTTTATTATTATTAACAATTTTAATTCAGACATGTTGCAAGCGTTAACTTTAGTTTAATTTAAAAAGGGCGTTAACTTTGGTTTAATTTAAAATGATTATATTATTTTAACAAAGATTTACTCGTTTCTGCAATAAAATGAATTGGTATTTCATGTTTGAGAAATGTAGTAAATTTAATAATGTACAACAAAAACAATAGACAAAATTATTTATTTTTATTAACTGATTCTATTTAATATTTCTGGAATTCTGAGATTACTAGTTTTAGTAAAAAACCTGTGATATCTGTGATAAAGTAGAGAATGTTACTCATGTAATGTATTATCTTATCTGATAGCTATCATATCTTCGGATAGGTGTGGTGTATTACTTTACTAAACGAAGTTGAACCAGTATCATATATATTCTGTACTGAGAGTGACTAAAATTACTTATGGTATGTATTTTATAACTTTCTAAATGTAATTCATTTCACGCTTGTTGCTTCAACTATAAAATATATTTAACAATCGACCGCACAATATTTTATACATTTTTTATACGCTGTGTTACTTTGCGTGTAAAAAATCTTTCTTCTAATTTACAAACCATCAAGTTACAGGAATTGAAGTATTAATTGTGCACTTTCTACACATCCACCCGCAGTAAGATGGCAAAATTTTTGTATTTTTTTATTTTTATCACCCTAAGTAAGTATTCTTATATAAGCCGGCGCAAGATCAAACATGATGTAGTTTATAATTTCGTTGTTGTTTATTTTCAGCTGTACGGGCACAGGAAAACGCAGCTCGAAATCTCTCGCCGTCTCTTCGAGAGTGTTATGATAACAAATATCTTTTGGAAAGAGATAATAGACTACCGTATACTTTGAATACGTTTATCGCGATACTTCGCAAGATTGAAAACACAGAGGGTCTCAATATGGATTTGAGAACTTTGTCCGTTGCACTCTTGCATCGGTAAGTTCAACACACACTATAGAGCAGTAACATTGAGTGAGAAGACAACTTCGTTGGTTCTGATTCACAGTTTTCGACAAGATGGTATAGTCCCGAATCCCCAAATCCCCGATCAAGATGGGATATCACCGTATTCACCAAGTAGTTTTGAATTCGTTCGTTTCGCTGAAACTTTACGGCTCATACCAGGAAATGCTTTGATGTTCCCCAATAACAGCATCACCGACGTTGAAAGAGTACGTAGTATGTGTGATACAGGCTGTCGCGTCGTGTTTATACATCTATTTCTCTAATGCTGTTAACCATCACATTGCAGTGTACGTTGCACTTCATGTTATCAAGCAGCGTTGAAATTTTTCAAAGAGGAGACGAAGCAAAAGTCTGCAGATTCTCGGATAAGTACAGATATCCGAGAGATATCAAGGGCAGGAACAAAGCAGCGACTGAAAGCCCTATCAACGACGTGGAGACATTGTCGTCCGACGAGATGTAAGTAGAAGAAGCAATTTCCGTTGCGCGCTGTGTACGTAACGTTCGCAATCGATATCAGAAAAGTGAAATGTAATTTTTTCCGCAGAAAAAGTATGACTCACCGTAAAACCGAAGGTAAACACATTACGATTGATCCGAATTCGCGATATCCAGAAGTACCGCCTAATCATCCAGATAGTGCGCGAATGATGGAATTGCCTCGTAGTAAATGCCCTATACAGAACGGCGTTGTGAAAACTTTGTGAGTTTGTGAGATTTGTTGAGATACAATTCGAGACCAATTATTTTGTCGAGAAAAAAAAAACCAACCTTATGTTTTTAGGTGGGGTACAACTTCTCTTGGTGTGGTGCTGGCTGGTATAGCTGCGGCCACGCAACCGGAAACAGCCAAACTTCCCGAGTTACTCTCATCCGACGTTTTAAGAAGGAATGACACAGATTTACAGGGACGAACTTTGGAAAATAAGTGGCTCGCGACTCTAGCAGGTGATACGAATCCTTTGAGATGGAAATGAAGTTGACAAAGCGTTCCGCAGATGTGTGACGTTGAATAACTACTGAAATCTTACAGGAGATCTGGCGGAAGTAGCTTTAAGGCAAGGCCCTAAAAGCAAAGATGCCAAGTTCAGCGTTGGATTAGACGGCAACTGGAACTCCACCGCTTTGCCACGATGGTATTTCTTGAATTCGAATAACAATTACGAAATGACAACGGCGGAAATCAGAGGGGACTTGGACGGCTTGATTTTGGCCGACGAGATTTACAAGTGGTATTCTGCGATACCTAGTTTGAGGCTGTCGCAAATTTTCGACATGTACTACAGCTCGTTAGGATTCTTCGACTCGTCCATCAGAGCGTGCAATCGGAGAACAATGTTCACAGCCGTTGCGCCAAACGACACGTTGGTCTCGCAGGTGAATTGGTTTGATACATCCGGTAATGAAACTTCGAAAGACAAAAATCTTTTTCCTTTGTTGGGTGCTATTGATATTTGCTTGTAGACGTACAGTGCTTCTATAGTGTTGGAGGATCTGGCACACGCAACGCTCGAATATCCGGTATTTGAAAAGTTCTCGGTACAAGCGGTAAACGAATTAGTGAAATATGTGCGTAAGTACGAACGATTCACATAGATTTACGTCAGGTTAGACGGAGAAACGATTCATTTCGTTTGATGTTTTTATAGCCACGTCTATGAACAACGACCTTTCTTGTGCTGACACGGATAAATCGTATGGTTTCGATCAAATATCTGTCGACTTGACGATTATCTTGGACACGAACTGGAAGTACTCTGTGATAAAACCTATCCTTGCGAATTTACTAGAAAGTATAGACGTTAATCAATTTAATTCCAACTTTACGTTGATAAATGGTCAAGATGGAACACCAATGATCAACAGCACTTTCAGCATTTTGGATTTCTATGCTTATAATTCATCTCATTATGAAAATGGTACGTACCATAGTTACGTGTGTCGATGATAAGTTATGATAACAATACTGTATGAAATAATTCTTTTCAGTTACTCACGGTTTCGATTTACCAAAGTCGCTTAAAGAATTGGAAGCACATTTGATAAATAAATTAAATACTGAACGTATTCATGGTGTGGCTGGTGCACGTTCTAGCATTGTTTTAATTGTTCCACAGATTTCTGATATATCTAAAAACGATAAAGATTATTGTTTGCAAACTATACAGCGAATGCGGGAATACATTCCAGGTAAAGTTTTGTATCACTGTGGAATGTGTGACGAGCTTCTATATTAAATGAGTATTTGCATAGTTTTCATTACCGATTTTTTCAGATACAATTATACTTTTTATGGCAGTATCCAAAGATTCGTGGTCCGATCTAGTACAGAATCGCACGACAGATTTATTTTCTATTAGCACCGAAGATACAGAAGAGAGTTTACGACCTATAAATAATGTAGTTTCAAGAATAAAGCAAGGTAAAGAAAATAAATATCTTAATGTTGGTCTCCTCATCGTATACATAAATGAAAGAATAATCATTGTGAAATTTGTTGCAGTTCCCAAGCGTTTAATCAACTCTCAGTGTGGATCAGATTATGTTCCATATGGACGGATAAATTCGTATGATGATTACATTTTACCAAATGGTACTAATTTTTACAAGTTGCATCCCAATTACTTTTTTAATCACCAAAATACAACAATAGTAAAGGTAGGTTTCCTTTTAAATATTATTCCATGTGCACTTTCATGTATAGTATACACATGCACATATATTCCGTAACTTTAAATTCGAGAAACTATTTTTTTCTAAATGAAGCATTCTTGATTTTTATCTTATTTCATATTATATTACAAGTAATTATTTTCAGATTCAAAGTTTCGGATCAGACAGTTTGATTGTATGTTCATCACGAGACGAAAATGCAATGGAAACATCTAAATCATGTGCATCGGTATCCAATAACGTACACAGCATTACAATTTCCTGTAATGATGCCGTTTTTATTCGCGATTGCCCGCCACTTTATATATCAGTGACTTCAAACTCCACAAGTACTCCTTACCGTTGTACCGGTAAGCATATTAAATAAATATAGTACAAAAATTATAGTACTGAATAATTGATGTTGATAATTAAACATTTGTTTTTAGATCAACGAGTTTGCAGAATTCCTAGTATGATAAAATATACTGTATCCTATGAAAACCTTGTGTGTACTAGTGGAGCAACTAGACTTGCATTTAATTTTTCTATTTTAATGATAGTTTTAGTTTTATTAAATATGCAATAATTGCCAAATTTTATACATGAATTTAATTAAATTTAAAATATCTAATTATATGGCAATTTAATCAATAAGATAACAAAGATTGTCTGTTTTTGAATAACGACATTCTACATAAAAATGTTCAGTATTTATCTATAAAATTAAATTTTATATAATATAATATAAAAATCAATCAATTACACGTGTAATATTTTTATACAACAAACTGTAATAATAATTTATACACAAGTTTTATAATAATAAATAATATATACCTCTTGTAACGTGAAACTATGCTTCAAATAAAAGGTTTACAAAGAGCAATTGTGTGATCTATTCCACAGGCAACCTTTTTCACTTGAGCTCCTACAGTGACCTGTAAAAATTGCCCTTTGTAATAATACTACCTTTTAATAACATCATACAATGGAAAACTTTACCTTCAATGGAAAGTACTGGTCTTTCAAATCCCCTAATCCTAAAGATCCAAATTTATTACAACCCCACATATACAAATCACCCATGTTGGTCAAGGCTGCAAGATGACTCATGCCACAAAATATCTTTACCACCTACAAAAAGAATTACGTTATTTTTATTTTCTTCCCAGGCAGCGCGATCAAAAAGTCTAATTATGTTTGGATCACGATGTGCAACAACTGTCGATATGTTTGTATTTTGTCAAAGTCAACACGTTCAACTTTACTCGTTCATCGCATTCTTTTATCAAGAGTATGTGCGCCGTGACAATTTTATGATACTTATGGCCCTCTGGTCTTAGTTTTATACTATTAACCAATAACTGTATAAACAAGTGAGGGGCGCGTACTTGGGCAATACCGTTAGACCCATAAAGTAATTGCAAGATTTACTCAAGACCTGCAAATAGCATGTTGACTGTTGGAAAACGATTTACTTTTCCAATGAATTCCAATGAATCATCCTTCCGTGTGATCGGGAAGGACACAGAGAATCGACTTTAGATAAACGACAATGCATGGAATTATATATTCTCGCTACTTCACTCTATTACCTGCTATTTAGTTATCGGTCTATCTTGTCGCGTTCATTGTCACTATTCACAACTCACGCATTTCCGAAACATTTATGTTTATGAAAGCATGTCGGACGTACATGAAATAAGCCCTATCGCGCTATTTATACGAGATTTCTTTAATAATCTCTATGACTCGGTCAAACTTATAGCAAACTTACTTTTGTATTCTTCTGATATGCATTATTTCCGAAAAGTACAGATGGAATTTTCGTTGGTTGTGAAACTTTTTTAACTTCGGGACCAAGACCAAGAATACCATAACCCCATACATAAACATCACCTGTATCTAAAAAATTCATATAATAAACTGTTACAGTATGCAATTGTAAAAAATAATTAAGTACTCGAATAAATACTTACTGTTTAATACCATACAAAAGCAGCCACCACTGGCAATATCTACAATATGACCTAACTGTTTCAATACGTCTAACTCTGTGGCTATGTTTACCTGTTGATTTTCACCTTCCATAAATAACTGTGCATATTCGGAATTGCCCCAACCGAATACGGTTCCTTTGTCTGTAACCACGTAAGGTTCAAATCGCGTTAATATTTCCTTAATACTTACTTCTATACGAAATAAAATTTTACAATTTATCATGGTATTAATACATGAATATTGCAGATACCGCTGAGTGCTAGTACACAGTCTGCGACGCATGCAATTTTTATAATATGCTGCCCAGCCAAGTCCCCTTTCACCAAACTTGGCCTGTACTCATTTCGATAATGTGCCAATCCAGTTTGTCCATCCGCACCCCAACCAAAGGTATACACTTCACCAGATTCTGTCAAGAGTACGCTATCACATAGCAGTAAAGGAAAAATTCTCAAATGTTATAACTGACTAAATGTGAAATGTTACAAACTTTCATACCTGTGATCTTGACCAGCTGTCACGGCTTTGACCTTTTTCTCCTTTATGTCAGATATATGATGAATGACCCTACTCTTTTCATAATTCTCATTCGGTATTATAGGACGACCACATTGTCCATATGCATTGTTTCCCAGTGTAAACAAACCTTCGTTCGTAAGTACCAATAAATGCGCTCTTCCAGCTGCCATGTCTAGCACTTTAGCGGAAGAATCTTTGACTGGCAAATTAATGGGTCTAGGTTCGGTTATCAAGCTGTTGGGAAATCTTTTGTCCATTTCGTTGAAACCTAGTGGCGCATTAAACAAACTAGACTTTGACCTTGCGTCGAGTAGTAATTCGACAGAAATTGAGTAAGTAAAAATAAGTTCAAAACGACTTTTCTTACCAAGCTGAGAATCTGTGTTTATCCCGCTTCCGTACAAAATATTCTTATCCTTGGATCTCACGGCAAAAGCAGTGAAACCATAACCACATGTTATATTCGTTACGTCGTGTCTCTCTCCAAAAACCAATCTTTTTGGTTTTGGAATATAAGAGATGCCCTTGTCGAACATTGTTGTTTTCAAAGTACCAAGAGCACCATGATCCGCTAAACCCCAGACGTACACTCTGTGATCTCTTTCGTCACTTATTGAATATCGAAAAACTAAAATGAAATATTACAGATTAATAATGTCAGGAATGTTGTTAGTTAATGTTATAAATTAATACAAAGAAGAGCCTTTGAAAACTTGTGTGCGTTTACATAAATATTATCAATGATATATATTAATGAATATAACATAATACAATACTAATATTGAAATATTATCAATGAAACTTCTCTTGCATCTAATTCCCTCACCTGGCAAAGGTTTCGAGACTGACGTTTTATTTTCGATTTTGTTAAGCTGTACAATTCTACTCGAATGTTGCACGCTCCTTCTCAAGCTCGTTTTCATCGTGTTTAGCATGCTTGTCGCAGTTCTTTCATTTAAAAAACTTCACGCGTTTCGAGTAATTTTATTCGTCGATCGAATCGTCGGTTGACCTTCGATCAACTAATAAATCACAAAACTTGCTAATTATTTCAATCGAACAAAGAAGCCAAAGTTTGATTTTTCACGTTAATCCTCAACTTCCTGCCCTCATCCGAGTCAGAGTCGAAGCTGAAGATGTCGTTTCATGTGCAGCGACCAGAAATTATTTAAGCGCGGGTAATTCAAATAACGAAATCGCAATAGAAACTGAACAAATCGAAACTTATTTGAGGAAATAGAGATGGCTTATTACGTTAGATTGAATTTGGTTTCTTTTTTTTTGTTTATTAAAATTTAAAAATAGGAATCTAAACATTTCAGAATTCGCGACGGAAAATCGTTCGAAAAATTACGAGATCGATTTTTCCTGTAAAAATAAAACGAGAAGACGCGAAATGGAAAAAATAAAATCTCCGAGGGAATTTCTGTCACAAATGAGATGCACTCGCATACCTCGTCTGTGCTGTCGAAGTACATTCCCGTCGGTAAAGACGGGACGGCATACCGACCAGAGTCGCGCTAGTCGCTCGTATGAAAATAGATTCGCAGGGGCGAGCTCTCGCTAGTCAGAGGTGCGTTGCTCTAGATGTAATTCGTGGCAGTTCTGGCGAGTGAATTGGCAGCCATTTTTAAACTGCTTACTTAGTGTAATAGAGAGCAGGAAGGGCATGAATAATGAGAGATCAGACCGCGAGATAGTGAATATGTGAGCGTGTGACGGACGAGAGAACGACGAGACTCGTGGATCGGACGCGACGAACGGGGACTAAAGAGTTATTAAGGGGATCCGGTGGTGTTCGTTCCGAGGTGCGAACGTACGTCCCAAGCTGAGGGACGGTGCTTGAGCGAATACACTTCGTCCCCGTGAGATTGATGAAATGGTGAACTGTCAACACCTCCGCAGTATAGGGAATATGAACGTGACCCGTGGCAGCCCGTAACCGAGCACAGTAGATCGGTCCGCCTAAACCGAGAAGGAGATAGTTTCCCTTTCGATTTCAGTTAAGGTTAATCAGCCCTCGATGCCGCGGGGCCCCGGCTAGCAGAGCGCGAGATGTCGGTACTACCATGCGAGAGATCGACAAACGGAAAGATCGTGTCTCCCGGATGCTAAGTTCCTATAATAATGGCAGATAATGTGCACAGAAAATCGCACAAGCTGTCCGACGGTAGTAGAAAGATATCGAACCCAGTGCACCGTACCACCACCGAGACGATCCGGCTGGGCGAACCGGAGAGACTGTACCAGCCGGTTAGTCTGATCAGCCCGGGCAACGTGGTGACCGCAGCCAGTGGCAACCAGTGCCGGAAGAAGACGTCCTCCTTCCAGATAACCAGCGTCACCGTTGGCTCCCGCATGAGCAATGACGCCGGCGAGGACTCGAACGACGACCTCGACGAGTCGCACACGGAGGACAACTCGGTGGAGCACTCACGCATCACCGACATCGAGACGCCTAGCTACTCGGAAGACACGTTCTCCAAGGAGGACGTGTTCTTCAACGCGGGCAACGCCGCGCTCAGCACCGCCCCGGTGATCCCGACCAGCTCCCAGTACGGCCTGGCGATCGTCCCCTCCGAGGGGAACAACGTCAGCAACTCGGTAAACGACAGCAATATCAACACACTGGACATCACGTCCGTCACTGACAACAACATCATCAACCTGCTCTCGAGCAATGCCAAGCAGGACGCGGACCTGCGCGAGGTACACTCGCACGGCAGGAACGAGAGGTTCAAGGTGGTGAAGATCGAGAGCACCGAGCCGTTCAAGAGGGGCAGGTGGACTTGCATGGACTATCTGGACCACACGTCAGTGAACCAACCGACGGCGATCAGCACACCGAAGGTGTCCGATCCGAATGAGGTATGCATATCATACGGGGTGACGGACAGCGGGATCGTCGTGCCAGACGCACCCAAGCAGCAGCAGCAGCCTACGGTAGTCGTGCCCGAGGAGAAAGGCATGGGGATCGACGCGAACGGACAGGCACAAACTGTGCACGCAGACGTGCATACGTCGATCCAAGGTGTGCCAAGCAATCCAACACCAGTCTCGAGTGCTAGTTACGCGGTGAGCAACTCGATCGGCCCCAATGCGCAGCATAATCCAACGCAGGTTCAAACGCAGGCCAAAGTTCAACCGCCCTCGCAGATACCCCAGTACTTTCAGTCGTCGGCTCAGCAACTGGCTTCTCAGCAACAGCAACAGACTGGCCAGGGTTCCACGTTGCCCTCCAGCCTGCAGCCGACCCATCCCAGTAACTTGACTCAACCTCAGAGTATGCCCCAAGGTTCTATCCCTATAATAACACAGACTGGTAGTAGCAATGTGACGCCCCAACAAAGTATACCTCATTCGAAAGAAGATACCTATGTGACAGTGAACACAGCGCAAAGTCAGTCATTGCCGGTTCAGAATGTTTGCCAGCCTTCTGTTCAACAGACACCGGTGCCAACGTCACAGGCACCTAACATTCTTGTCACGCAGCAACAGCAGCAACATGCCCCTCAACAACAACAACAACAGCAGCAACATCCACCGGCTCAGCAGCAGCAGCAGCCACAGCCACAGCCTCAACAACAACAGCCTCAACCGCAGCAGCAGCAACAGCAGCAGCAGCAGCCTCAAGCTCAGCCTCAACCGCAAAGTCAGCCACAGCCTCAGCCCCAACAAGCAACATTACAGACACAGAAATCAATGGCTCAAATGTCCGAGCCATTGACTACCATACAAGGAATACAGGGCATCCAAAATATTCATAAAGTTCCTCAGACAGGCGCTCAGCAAACTTCGTCGACCATTCACGCTCCTGGAGCACCGGTGCAATCTCAAGTGATACCACAACCTTCTCAAATGCAGCCTCCAACAACCGGTAGCAGTGCTCAAGTACAAATGGCACAGGTATCCGCTAGTTGTCAGAACGTCGTTGGAGGTATGCAACAGGGGAATATGGCGTTTCATCAGCCAGATCCAGATCAGGACTCTATTTCAGGCATCGTAGCTGGATCCGCTCAGTCGGCTGACACGACCCTTTTAGAGTCGTTGACCGAAGTCACTCAAGGCAGCGATGAGCACCATACCCTCGAAGACAATGAAAGGTAGGCTTTGTCAGATGTACCCGTTATAGAAACGAGAATATTTTCTTCTCTTAGAAAAGTAGTTTTTGATAAGATTGTGAATTTACTTGCCACGGCATCTACGTGTACTTTGTAAATAAATTTTCGCATGTAATTTTCATTGCAGTATGTCGGGGACAAGCGCTGTAGCGATTGATAATAAGATTGAGCAAGCTATGGTAAGTGTTCCCCATCTCCGTCGTTGGGACAATTATCCGTTTGATGAATGAAAAACAATATCGGAAAAATTAATAAACGATCTTCTTGTAGGATCTTGTTAAGAGTCACTTGATGTTTGCTGTACGGGAAGAAGTCGAAGTACTCAAGGAAAAAATAGCCGAGCTTATGGATCGTATAAATCAATTGGAAGCTGAAAATTCAATCCTGAAAGCACACGCGACACCAGAAACGTTGGCTCAATTGAGTCAATCAACAACAAAATTACCCCAAAACAATTCAGGAAGTGGTCAATAGGTAATCATTGTACATAAGTTTCTATTAATACTTTGTCAAGTACATAACGGATAATATAATTATTGTATATAACTTTACGATTTTTAGAAATTTATAAACAATGAGATTTATTATATTATACATATTAACATTAGTAATCTTTTTTTTAAGTAAATTAAAGATAATAGATTATTTTTTACCATTTCAGTTTACTGTTTAGGAAATATATATATATATATAAATAATAATTTAAATCTGTAAATTCAATTTTCTTTCTTTTCAAAATGATAATCATTTTGGAAATATATATTGTTACGATCCTAGACAGAAACAAGGACATATATTGAGTGCATGCCAAGATTAAGCAGCATAAATAATGGAGTTGATATTGTTTTACGATAGATTCAAGATTTTGAACATGTTAAAAAAAAAAAGAAAAAAAAAGAAAGTATATAACAATACGAAATAGGCAGCTAGACATTCCTAGATTATTTTTCCTATTACCTTCGCATTTGGCCAATTTCATCTACCGTAAATTCAATTGAAGTGAAACGATTGATAATTTAACATAAGAGTCTAATGTTCAAGAAACATTTGTATAATTTTAAATTACATGTGATTTTACGTTGACATTTTATTATCATTTTCATTCTTAAAAACAGCTTTTTTATGTGAAACTGTGTAATTTTCAGTATCATTAAAAATATCAAGCCTCATATTTTGTAATCTATACTCTCGTGTTGTAGTCTCATTTTTAAAACGATATGTATTATAATCAACATGCTGAAATCCAGGAAAACGATTATTTACTGGTGTGCATTGAAAGAAAAAAAAAAAATCTACAATTTCCTGTCAACATTTTATGTTACATCTTAAACATGCCTAATAAAAAAATTTTTAATTGTATAATAATTTGTTAAAAATTCCTAACAAAATGGAAACGTATTACAATACACACAAAAAAAAAGCCAGCAGAACAAATACAAAATAATCATTTCTGATGATACGGGGTTGCCATTGATCGATTTTCTTTTTTTCTTTTTTTTGTTTTTCATGACTTTTAAAATGTTTTTATTCATTAAAATGATTGCTATAACGACTAAAGATGACATTTCAATATAAAATCTTATGATGGAAACCACGTCTTTTTTGTTCAATAAAACAAATCAGAATTCGTAATTACACGTTATAAATTTATAAATGTTTTATAAATTTTTGTTTTTAGGAAGGAAAAAAATAACAACATACAACTTCTTTTTCGTTTCTTATATCATTATCAATAATGTGACTTCTTTTTAGAGCTATTGCGCACAAACATGGTCACATAGTATATATAATATACATAATGCATATATAATATCTGTTATATTATATATATATTATGTATACATATAATTATATATATATAACATATATAATATATATATTATGTATATTATATATATATTATATATTATATATAGAATCTATATATTCATACAAATCCGAAATTCTTTGTCTGAATAGCAAGTAGTAGTTTATGTCTTAATATGTGACGAGAGCTGTACAATGGAAGATATAGTCTAGAAATACATGTATTTGCAGTTGGTAGATGATCATCTGCTGGTCGTAATGTCACGCTCGGCATTGGTTGAAAACCATCTTCGCTTGCCGGTAATGCTGGAGATCCTGTCCAAAAGTATACCTACAAAACAAAGAAAATGAGAATGTCATCGTGTATAAAAAAAGAAAAGAAAAAGAAAGGGCAAATATTTATAAAAAAAAAAAAAAAAAAAAAATGCTTATAAAATAAAAAATATAATTTCTTACCAAGTCTTGTCGTTCTGAATGCGACATTTTCTCAACGATAGACCATAACCATCGTTTAAACTTGGCTAATCTATCGGCAGGTTCTCCCGATTCATCGTTGAAAGAAGTGTATGATATTAAAACGGAAACATTGATATCACCGACTCCGTTCAACAAGAGCCTCAAGTCTTCAGATGTTAAACCGTCGAGCGCTCCCTCGGGTAGTACGTCGAACACTCCATCTCTCATAGCAAGCAAAGATTTCTCTTGTACCTTAATCATGCGGACTTCCGCGTATTTTCTCACATAGTCGTAAACATTACTCGCTGTTACTTCTATATCACGTCCGTTGGGAATAAGTTCAATCGATCCGCCTCCTTCTTCGGGACACAAATCAATACTGAAACAATGGAGAAGAAAACATTGGAGACGATTCTTCTTCGAGGAGAAGAGTTACACAACTTGAAATATTTCCGATAGTCGCTCACCTGAATGTAAGATCAAGAGCAGAGAATAGACTGTTGCTGTCCTTGGTCTCGGAATCGATCACAAGTTGTCTTAGGCTTTCGTAAATTACAGAGTCAAAAAATGCAAGATCATGGAAACGGATCGGTCTTCCCAAAATATATTTTATCACATGGCGGTTCAAAAATATCGGGCACAATTCATTTTGTAAAAGACACAATCCTATAAGTCTGGGCAATAAATTTTTCTTTTAATTTCACCGGCTGATTCACAGTCTCGTCGTTACTTCGATTTTTCTTATCTTATACTAATTGTTTGACATCGTTACCAACCTGCCCACATTTCTGAATGCGTTCAATCGCTCGTAACTGGCTCTCCCCTGTCGCGGCGTGTAAAAACCTCTTTTGCCCGGCGAGTAGAAAAGAGGGGCATTGTCCTCCGTGTCATCCAAAATACTGTTCTCAATCTTTTTCTTGGTAGCCCCGCAACGCGCGATCAAACTGAACACGTCGAGATCCAACAGCGCTTCCCTTGCCGACTCCTGGCTGTGACTACGGATTAATTCAAACGCCTCCTCTACTTTTTGCCGTAGAGCGTCTTCCGAAGCTAGTAACATCAACAGTTGCGCAGGGGACAGCTCTAACAGCATACCAGTTATTTTAGCAGCTAATGCGGGTTGCAATGCATAGACCTGTAACAAGGTAAACGATTAGCGTATCATTGTGAAAAGAAATCAAGTATCGTCGTTATCTTTCTTTCTTTTTTTTTTTTTTATTGTTAATTACTTTTGGATATAGCCTGTCCCCGAGTTGTTGTTGATGCATGGTCAAGTGATCGTTATTTGGATGACTGACAGGTAACGGATGGGAATTGGAGGATGAACTACCAGCCCCAGAATTATTGCTTCCTTCGACAGAACTGGATGGATGAAAAACTCGAGCTTCGAATGACAATGCTCTACGCGTCTCTCGACATTTTCCAGACGAACGAGGATTCTGGAATAAAGATACCTCTTGTAATTAAGGAAGAACAGACAAAAAAGAATTGTCCTTTTTTTTTCTTTTGTAACTGAAATTATACTCACTTGTCGTCTCAAATCGTGATCACGATCTCTGCTCTTTAGTTTCCGAAGTACGTTATATTGCGTGTATTTTGATCCTACTTGTGCCGCTTCCAAGTTGGGCAGTTTCTCGTTTGCAAGCAACGCCTTTAAAAAGAAAATGTAACAATTTTTTTTTTTTCTTTTCTTTTCAAGATGAGACATTACAAACGTAATCTCCATTGTGACGTTACAAACCTCCGCGATCGCGGTGTAAAAACTTCTAGTTACTCCAGTGCCTTCCCCAGGTTCATCCTTGAAGGTCACTTTAACGCGATGCACGGCCAACGGCGGTGCGTTGGTTGCGCGTCTATTGTACAAGTTGTAATGCGTATTTAATTCCTTCATTGTCTGCACTAACAGCTGCGTTCTGTCTCGTTCGACCTTTAAAAAAGAAAGAAAGAAGAGGATTTAATTTATACTACACTATATTTCGTTCCTCTAACCTCTTGCGCTGGCAACTGATTCGCGGACCATAACGAGTGACCAAACCGTATACAATAATTCGTCGCTTTCTTTTTTGAACTCGTCGGTATGATATCACTGAATAGAAATTATTACTTAAGAAGTAATAAATTTATTATTTGTTTTGTCCGAGTTGTATTGAAACATATTTAAAACTGAGGAAGTATTGCAATTTTGGGACAAAAAATTCTCGACGTGCGTGGCACGTCATTCCTCAACGCAAGAGGTTAAGCAATTAAAAACATTGCGATCAGTTACTTTCAACAGATTGATGTCTCTTTGCTGAGCGTTCCGAAGTTTCTCCATGTCTCTGCGAAATTTCGCTTCTTTCACTTGGAAACCACCCAGTTCGGACACGACCGAACCGGCTTCTAATCCGACATCCTCCATAAAAACTCGTCCGAACAGATCCAGAGACAAGCTCCAACGACCCAGCAGAATATTATGCGATATATTGGATCCGATAGACGAGACTGGATTCGTCTCGACCGTTTCGTGGGTCATTGACGCGTCGTGGTTCGAACCGGAAGTGTCCATCTCCTCCGTTACATTCTGCGTCGCTTCGTTCGATACGGGCATTTCTGACGCGCCAGCTTTACTTGGTTCCTTTAAAATTAAAACAACTGTGTTGTTTACACCCTCATTCTGCCAAATCCTCACGCGTTACTTCAACCTCTTAAATGCGTTTCTTATGAATATCTCTACAATGTTCTTTCTTTTTTTTTTTTTTTCTTTTTATCCTAAACTTTAACTAAAAGCAAATTTCTATATATTTACCGAAACAGTTCCAGCTCTAACAATAACGCTTCTATTCATTTTACACGTATCTCTATTGCTTTTGGTACTTCCTGCTGCTTGATCGTTTTGATTATTAGTAGAAACAATGATCGGAGCTCGATCGACTTGCTCCGCGACAAACGTATGATTGAACGATTTTGTCTTTTCCTACAATGTGGAAAGTAAATCTACATATTTCATTTTTTCGATGTAGGGAACCGTGCGACAAAAAAAAGAGAGAGAGAGAAAGGAAAGAGTTAGAATGAAAATGTAAAAATATAAATATAGATATCCTATTGTCGTTACACAACAATAGAATAACACTCAGGCTGAGAAATGAACGCTGTTTTTCATGCTTGGAGGAAATCTCGATACGAAGGTGAAAAAGAAAAAAAAAAAAAAAAATTCGAAATGCCAGGAAACGGCTGAGTAACTTAATCGGCTTTTCTACGTAAGGGAAACATTACCGTGTGCTTCGCAGACGTCGAGTCTCCAACGGTAACAGAGCTACGTCTAGCATCTGACGATGCAAAGGCAGATCTTTGAATAATTTGACTAAATGTCGGCGTGGGTATATTCTGATTA